CCCTTGCCACCCTCCTCAATAGCTGGGATTACAGGCGAGTGCAACCACACCTGACTAATTTTGTATTCTTAGTATAGACAGAGTTTCACCGTTTTGGCCAGACTGGTCTTGAACCCTCGGCCACAAGCGATCCACCCGCCTCAGCCTCCCAAAGTGCTGGGAATACAGGCAAGAGGCCTAGCCGTGAACTGTATACTTTTTTTCTTTTGAGATGGAGTTTCGCTTGTGTCGCCCAGACTGGAGTGCAGTGGCGTGATCTCGGCTCACTGTAACCTCCGCCTCCCGGGTTCAAGCTATTCTACTGCCTCAGCCTCCCAAGTAGCTGGGATTACAGGCGCCCACCACCACGCCCAGCTAATTTTTGCATTTTTAGCAGAGCCGGGGTTTCACCGTGTTGGCCAGGCTGGTCTTGAACTCGTATCCTCAGGTGATCCGCCTGCCTCGGCCTCCCAAAGTGCTGGGATTACAGGTGTGAGCAACTGTGCCCAGCCTGAACTGTACACTTTTAAAGGGTGAACTTCATTCCTTTCCATGGCTAAGGGACAGCCCACGGCAGGGGACAGGCCACATTGAGTTTCTCCACTCATCTGTTGATGCTTATTTGGGTTGTTTCCACTTTGGGGACTAAAATAAATAATGTTGCTGTGAACATTCGTATACACGTTTTTCTCCAAATGTGCATTTTTGTTTCTTCTGGGTGTATATGTAGCAGTTCAGTTGCTGGGTCATACAAAAAAAAAAGAACCGTTTTCTAAAGTGGCTCAACCATTTCACTTTCCCTCCAGCCTCGGGAGGCGAGAGTTTCACTTCCTTCTCATCTTCTGAAACACTTTATTTTTTTTAAGATGAGTTTTTCTCTGGTTGCCCAGGCTGGAGTGCAGTGGAGTGATCTCGGCTAACTGTAACCTCTGCTTCCCAGATTCAAGAGAGTCTCCTGCCTCAGCCTCCCCAGTAGCTGGGTTTACATGTGCCACCCATGACGCCTGGCTAATTTTTGTATTTTTAGTAGAGAAAGGGTTTCATCATGTTGGCCAGGCTAGTCTTGAACTCCTGACTTCAGGTGATCTGCCCGCCTCAACTTCCAAAGTGCCAGGATTACAGGTGTGAGCCACCATGCTGGCCAACACTTAAAAAAAAAAAAAAAAAAAAACCATCCTAGGCAGGGGCCGGTGGGTGACACCTCTAATCCCTGCACTTTGGGAGGCAGAGGCAGCCGGATCACCTGAGGTCAGGAGTTTGAGATCACCCTGACCAACATGGAGAAACCTCATCTCTACTAAAAATAATACAAAATTAGCCAGGCATGGTGTCACATGCCTGTAATCCCAGCTAGTCAGAAGGCTGAGGCAGGAGAATGACTTGAACCGGGGAGGCAGAGGTTGTGGTGAGCTGAGATTGCACCACTGCACTCCAGCTTGGATAACAAGAATAAAACGCTGTCTCAAAAACAAACAAAACAAAACAAACAAACAAAAACCATCCTAGTGGGTGTGAAGTGGTGTCTCACTGTACCTTTTTTTTTTTTTTTTAATTTTTGAGACAGAGTCTCACTCTGTTGCCCAGGCTGGAGTGCAGTGGTGTGATCTCGGCTCACTGCAACCTCTGCCTCCCGGGTTCAAATGATTCTCCCACCTGAGCCTCCCGAGCAGCTGGGATTGCAGGTACCCATCACAATGCCCAGCTCATTTTTGCATTATTAGGAGAGATAGTGTTTCACCACATTGGCCAGGCTGGTCTCAAATTCCTGACATCAGGTGGTCAGTCTGTCTTGCCCTTCAAAGTGCTGGGATTACAGGTGTCAGCCACCACACCCTGCCTTGAGTTGTCTTTTATTGCCTTTGTTTTTTTTTTTTTTTTTTTTTCACTTACCCACTAAATTTTTTTTTTTTTTTTTTTTTTTCCCAATCAAGGCCTCACTGTGTCAGCCAGGCTGGAGCACAGTGGCACCATCATGGCTGTCTACGGCCTCCACTTCCTGGACTTAGGTGATCCTCCTGCCTCAGCCTCCTGAGTAGCTGGGACTACAGCCACGTGCTGCCATGCCAAGCTAATTTTTGTGGTTTTTTGTTGAGATGGGGTTTTGAGGGCTTGGCACTATGGCTCATGCCTGTAATTCCAGCACTTTGGGAGGCTGAGGTGGGTGCAGCACGAGGTCATGAGTTCAAGACCAGCCTGGCCAACATGTTGAAACTCTGTCTCTACTAAAAGTACAAAAATTAGCTGGGTGTGGTAGCACGCGCCTCCAAGTACTCCTAGCTACTTGGGAGGTTGAGGCAGAATTGCTTGAACCCAGGAGGCAGCGGTTGCAGTGAGCTGAGAGTATGCCACTGCACTCCAGCCTGGGTCTCTCACACACACACACACACACACACACACACACACACACACACACACAAAGAGCAATGGGGTTTTGCCATGTTGCTCAAGCTGGTATTGAACTCCTGGGCTCAAGGAATTCTCCTGCCTCGGTTTCCGAAAGTGCTGGGATTGCCACCACCCTCGGGCTTCTTTTATTGTTGAGCTGTAAGAGTTTTGTTGTTGTTTTGAGGTGGAGTCTCGCTCTGTCACCCAGGCTGGAGTGCCATGGTGCAATGTTGGCTCACTCACTGCAACCTTTGCCTCCCTGGTTCAAGCAATTCTCCAGCCTCAGCCTCCCGAGTAGCTGGAACTAAAGGCATGCACCACCACACCCAGCTAATTTTTTGTATTTTGGCAGAGACGGGGTTTCACCATGTTGGCCAGGCTGGTCTCCAGCTCCTGACCTCAATCAATCTGCCCGCCTCAGCCTCCCAAAGTGCTGGGATTATAGGCATGATCCACTGTACCCAGCCAAATGTTCTTTATATATTCACAATACAAGTCCCTTACTGGATATATGATTTGTAGACATTTTCTCTGAATCTGCGGGTTGTGAGTGTGAGCTGTTATTTCTTGCTTACCTTGAGTTTGTGGATGCGTGAAGAGTCATACCTGCTGGGAATATGTGCACATTTCCGAGATGTAGAGCGAGATGAATCTTTGGGTGGAAAGGATGGGTGGGAAGGAAATCACCTCACCCACCTCCCACCCCACAGCCTCTCACCCGTAACTTGCTGTTGAGGATTTTGTCATTGATGTCCTCGTCAAAGCACTTCTGGGGGTAGATGTCAATGCAGTGAGTCCTCAGGTTCTGCTGGATCTGGAGATCCCGCACGGGTGACCTCAGCCTGCCCTGCCCACTCTGCCCTCTGCACCACTGACCCCATCCCTGTCCCGGGCACCCAGATCACCCTGCGCCTGAAGGCCTCTCGCTCCTCCATGGTCAGGCTGTCTGCCCGGGCGATCACAGGCACCACATTTACAGTCTGGCACAGCCGCTGCAGGAACTCAATGTCCAGGGGCCGCAGGCTGCCGGGTAAGGCAGTGATGGGGGCGGAGGTGGTGGTGAATGTGTAAGTGACAGCGGGCGGGGTGCGGGCTCGCAGCCTATGTCTGGGACCCCTACTCCTCCTCCCTGCCCCATGCCGGTGGTCCTTGCCTTGCAGGTGCAGCCCCTCACCAGTGCCCAGTGGGTGGCACGAAGTACACACAGCAGTGCACGCGGGTGTCTGGGATGTGGCGCTGGCGGGTGATGAGGATCTCCTCCTGCAGGTACCGCTCGTACTGCTCGTTGATGTAGCCCAGGATGGGGTCCCAGCTGGGGCGGGAGGTGGACCCTCCCCTCAGAAGTGTGCTGTGCCCGGGGAGCCCCATCCCTCTCTGCTGCATCCTCTGGATGGTCCTCCCTTGGGATAAGGAATTGTCCCAGTTTGCCTGGGACCTCTGGATCACCCCGTTACTTTCCTCCACTTTCTGTACCATTATAGAGACATAAAGAGACCTCCTGCCATTCTCCACTGGAGGCCTCAGCTTCACTGTCTATAAAATGGGGACAATAGTAGCACCTACTTTGCAAGTAAGGGAGGGGTGAGCATAACTGCATTAAAGGGCCACAGCTGGGCTCGGACCACCAAGGAGTCTTGCCTGATGGTTGCAGGGGTCTCCCTTCTCCTTTCCGAGTCCCCTCCCCTCTGGGATATTGTCTGCACCATAAGTAGCCAGAAAGGTCCTTTTAAAAAGAGGAGTCAGGCCAGGCACGGTGGCTCATGCCTGTAATCCCAGCACTTTGGGAGGCTGAGGCAGGAGGATCGAGTGAGCCCAGGAGTTAGAGGCCAGCCTGGGCAACGTGGGGGAAAACCCCAACTCTACAAAAAATACAAAAATTAGCTGGGTGTGGTGGCACGTGTCTGTGGTCCCAGCTACTCAGGAGGCTGAAGCAGGAGGTTCACTTGAGCCCAGGGTGGTCGAGGCTGTAGTGAGCCATGATCTTACCCCTACACTCCAGCCTGGGAAACAGAGTGAGATGCTATCTCCAAATTGAAATGAAATGAAACGAAACCAGGGCCAGGCACAGTGGCTCACACCTATAATCCCAGTGCTTTAAGAGGCCGAGGCAAGCCGATCACCTAAGGTCAGGAATTTGAGACCAGCCTGGCCAACATGGTGAAACCCTGTCTCTA